TGATTTTTTGTCTTTCTGAGAACCAGCTCCTGCAATACCTAATTCAGATGAAGAGGAAACTTTAGATGATCTGATAGAAATTAATTTTGTTTAGAGAAGGGAGCTAAAAATAAGTGTTGCATTGGTAAAGTGTAAAATCAAATGTTTAAAGATTCCAGCTATGACAGTTAACTCTAAAGCTGAGCCTTCTATTATAATAGAAAATATCATTGAACGTGTGAGGTTAAAATCAATAAATCTGAAACACATGATCTTAGCGGTATTGCTACTGTTTTAGTTGAATTTGTTAGAATTATTCGCAAATTACCTATTATTTTAGCTCCTAGTTGTACTATTCATGAAGATTTTATCATAATGAAATATCACTAGCTGACATTAATATTTTCCAACCAACTTTTAAAGAAATATAATTGCACGATAGATTGAAAAACCAATGAGCTAAAGATCTCTTTTAATAGAAAAGACTATATTATTTTCAGTCACTATGCATAAGGTTAAGAATAAGCTCGAGATGAACTATATAAATATTACTCCTGAATGTGATGATCTGTCAGTTCTAGACAAGATTTCTCAGGATCCGCAAGACTTAAGTGAAGATAGCACATTAAAAAAAATATGAGTTATGATAAGCTTGAAAAACTGCTATATGATACTCTTATCTCTAAAGTTAGATTAATTGAGATTAATCAAATCTGCGATCCTTTTCTTCTTGCTAACTATTCATCATTTGCTATGTAAACATAATCTTACTAAGCTCCTTCAAAGCATTTTTTGTCAAATATAATTAAAGGGTGAATTGTGACCTAAGAGCTTTTCTGATTCACGTATAGTTTCTTTTGCTTCGATATGATCCTTTCGATTTAAGCAAATATGTCATATAAAATGTCTAGAGTGGAGTTTTGATAAAGATCTTTAGCTAGAATCTCAGGTAAGTTAGAACTTTGAATAGATTTAGGCTGGTTCTAGAGGAAGCATTTCATTAGTTTTTTTTTCTTTTTTTACTTTTCTTCTCATAAAATAGATTTGCCGTTAAGGCACTTCACAAAGATTCTGAAATTAGATGATTATTTTCTTTATCTTGCAGATTATTCTCTAAAGGAGAGACTGATGAGATGAATTGTACCTTCCTAAGCTTCTCGAGAAAGTGGTTTCCATTTTGCTATGAATGCTCACAATCATTTCATTATTATGAATCTGATTTTTATTAATATAATACTCCTTTACTATCATATATGCCAAAACTTTATTTTTAAGATGTTTAATTTCTTCGATCTGCCAGATGTTAAAATATTAGTATCTTGCTGATAATGAGTTTTTAGAATTGAGTTAAACATACTTCTCAAATATTTTTATATGATGCATAAAAAATATTAGAAATCAATATTTATCATTTTAGATAAATAAAATATAATAGAAATAAATATTTATTATTATAAGGTAAAAAGAGAATGTTAGAAAATATAATTTATTGTTTTAGATAAATAAAATACATTCTAATTCATTATCTATAATTAATGATAAAAAATAATCAATATCCTTCATATTCATTCTATATTTATCGCAGTTGTTCTTTAACAAAAAATATGAAAGTTTTTTTTACATATTTATGATCAATGTAAATAAATGAGAACATAATCTTGAAAAAGAGATATATTGCATCTTGCAAGACTCATCCAAAATTCGAGGTTATTATGTTAAGTTATAGAGTGAATTTATAAATCTCAATGATGAGAATAGGCAGTTGAAGGTTGAAAACTTCAAACTTGTCTTCCAGAATGCTTGTATAGAAATATCTCTTGCCAAAGCTAAAGCTGATAACTTTGCAAAATCAGAGGAAGTGAAATCGCTTCAGTCTATAATTAATTTATTAGCTCTAGGATACTTCAGTAATAATAATCAATTAGGTTCACATATAAAAGTAGTAGTGAAAATAATGAGCCTTCTGACTCTAGTGCTTCTTCAATTATAAACACCTCAGATAGTTTTATATAAGGAGAGAAGAGCAGTGATTCAAATAACATAAATTTGAAATTTAATCTTCTAGAACTAATCCTACCCATCATTCTGGCAAACGAGATTTCAGTAAGTAGTACAAAAGAAATAGTGAAACTATCAGACTCCTCTATTATTATGAACAAATTATTGTCATCTATATTTACTTATTCAATAATACTTTTTCTATTAATCGTAATTATATTAGTCATTATTGTAAAAAAACTATGGAATATTTGAAAAAAAAATGAGCGATATCTCACCCACAAAAAATATAGAAATAGAGAACATGTAAAGTACCTCTTGGCTAGACCAGACTATTATTATTTTCAATTCTAATCGACTACCATATAAGTACTAATGCAAGTAGAACTTCTTCAAATCTTTTTTTAATACGGGCTAATATCATTTTTGGTAAATCTTTGAACGGGTTTATTAAGACTTTTTCTGTTTAGAATACCATACACACTAATAATCAACCAATATAAATTCGGTTACTACCCTTACCATTATGCCTATACTATAGTAAAATTAATAGTCATCTATTATAATATCTGTTATTTTCTTCTAATCTGTTATTATTTTACAAAATTTCTGTCTATTCTCTTTCATGATTGGGAGACAGATTTCATTAGATTTAAAGCCTATGTATTGAAAAACTTTTCCTGTAATTTGGCTATTATATCAATAAAACTTATCTTTAAAATATGTAAATTTTTTGGCTGATCATTATCTAGTTAACGGTTTTGCCAAATTATTATATGGGAAAATACTAATGGTCATCTTCAGACATATCTGAGGCTGAGCTATATGATCAGAAGCTAGAAGAGATATTTGTCTTGCAAACCTAGATTGAATATAGGAATTGAAGTTAGCTTATATTATTGTAGGAGGAAAAAATATGCGATTATAAATAATATTATATGAAGCGTCTTATGATTAAGTACTTAACTGAAATTGCCAGATCTTGTTAAGAGTACTTAGCAATATAGTTTAATGATATCGTCTATATCTACTTTAAACAAATCATCTTTTTTGTCATTCTGTAATTTCGATAATGTTTGATAGCGTGTGATTTCTAGGCTAATCATTTTGTATTATATGCTTTGAAAATCAGCTAATAATGCACATCTATTTTCTTGAAAATATGTTAACATATATAATTCTAAGGTCATAGCTTTCAATTTACGCTTACCGGCCTTAGTAACTAATTTATACATTTCTTCTCTATACCCGTCTTGAACATTTTCTGCAAGTAGTATTGTTAGCTTTATATAGATTGATTCTTTCTGCTTATCTAATGCACTGAGAAAGAAAGACCAGAAGTATCATTTTCTAAGCATTTTACTATTTTATCAGCATAAGTAGTGTCATATAAATTTTTTGCATAAATACATGCTTCTTTTCATAGATAGGTTATGATAGTCTCATCTTTTTTCAGACCTTCATGTAAGTTTTTGATATACCCTCTAACCCACTTTTCAGCCAATTTTTATACTAAAGTATCTTTTATTTTTAATACCTCATCTTTATCCATTTCGTCTTTATCTTCTTCGTTTTCGTTCAGGTCATCTTCATTCATCTCACTATCATCTGCTTTATTATCACCCACTTTATTACCTTTTTTAAAACCTTCAGCACAATTTCAGATGATGACTGATAACTATCATCATAATTTATAAATCACATACAGAGTTTAACAACACTTTTCAGATAATAGTTAATATTGATCTTTTTATCAAAGCGTTTTATCACTTCTGGGTATTTCATTATATCACCTACCTTTTGTAATAAATCATTCTTGACTACAATATATTCAAAATATTCACCCAGTTCTGGGATTTCATAAAGATAAGGCTCAGGTGTTAGGCCCTTTTTTATATGTCATTTAGTATCTGCTTCTTCATGGTGTATCTATTTCGTATTCATAAAATAAAGTACTGTACATTCTTATTATTTTTATTGGGTCTTTACATAGCAGTTTTAATTATTTTATTAAGATCTATCTGAGAAATATCCCTTACAATCTTTTTGAGCATATCCTTTACAACCTGACGCAAGGTATGTGTATTGTTTATTCTTATAGACTCTTCTATAATATGTTTTTCTATTTTGTAAAAAATACTAGACTGTTCCCGTTTTACAACCTGAACTCCCTGAATGAAAAGCTCTTTATTAAAATTTGGCTTATTTTCATATGAAATACCATAGTATTTTTTCTTTCCAGTAAATTCTACTAGAAATAAAACTTTCTCATATGCTATTTTAAGATGAGGGGATCCATTATCTTTTCTAAGAAAGTCATTAACCCTATCACAGAATTTTTCCATCTCTTTTATAAAGATTTTTACCATTCTAGACTAATATTTTTCTTTTGAAATCCCATTACTACTGTCATATACCTCATCGCATCCCTAAAAGCATTCTTCTGGATAGACAAAATATAAAAAATCAGTATCTCCATATTTTATTCTGAACCCCTCTCTCTTAACGAAATTAGCAACAAGTTTAATATTTCTCTGTCTAGCTGATATGATATTCCTAGCCAGTTCACGTAAGAAGAAAGGAGATTTACTATCCCCAACAGTACTATAAAATATATTCATGTATACCTTAAAAGCATTTTATTTTACATCTAAGCAAGAATAATCAAAACAAACTGAATCATATTCTACCATGAATTCATGCTTTTCTTTATTAATAAATTAGTATAAATTTTTGTTAAGACTGACATGTTTTTTCTCCTCTGCTTTGCTAAAATATGCTCGATAGCTTCTGTTAGTAATAAATCTTTACCTATTAAACCTATTATTAGTTTCATATCTTTCTTTTTTTCTTTCAAAGGGTAAGGCATTTTTTTATCTCATTCCGTTTACCAGATAAATATTTTAATATAGTAGCATAGAGATCTTTATTTTTAGAAATGTTATCATGTCTTATAGATCATGCAAGAACACTATTACTATTGAATTTGAAATTAATTTCATAGAGCGTTTTACCACTTTCCTTTAGAGATTTGGCATACTTTCGAAAGAAATAATTTTATCAGGCGAGAGGTTGTAAGTCATAATAAGACTCAGATATAATGATGCAAAGTCTAAGTCAGTTACAGGACGTCTATTTTCAAGTTCTTTTATTGGTAGAAAGACATAGGCATTCAGAAATAATTCTGTTTCTGTTTGTTTTGAAATTGTACTGGTTAAAATCCCTTTCTGCCATGTACTAGTACTTAAAAAATTGCTCACTTTCATTCCTATTGCAAAATAATACGCATCAAATAATGATATAAATGCTATGCTCACAACCTCCCTATATTCATTAATTATATTATGCTTAATCATTAACTGCTAATAACTAAGAGCATCAATAATACAATACTCAGCTATTTTATGCATTTATTCAACTGTTGTAGTATCTGCCTCTTTTAGTGTATTCTTATAATACTTGAACATGTAGTAAAAAGGCATATCTATTTTACTTTCAAGCTCACATTTGTTTAAGTAAAATGCTAAACTATTTTTTTTAGCCTTAGAATAAAATTTTTTAAAACAGGATCAGATATCAATAGTCACACATCCAGGAATTTTAAGATGTTTTGAGTGAAACTTTTCATTATTAATCTTTATCATATTATATTAATATTGCCATTTTGTAATCTTTTCGAGACTCATAGATTTTAGTGACATATGATTAAACATCTATTTAAGAACTTTCAGCTTCTTAGCTTTCTTTACAATAAATTGCCAATCATATTGAGAGTTATTAAAATCTATTTGTATATTAGGGGATAAAAGTTTCTAACATAAGGTAAATGCTTTTAGTAAATTAGTTTGAGATTCATATATAATTGTAGTCTAACGAGGATCTAGCGTAATTTTAACATTGATAAGACAAATTTGTTTTAATAGATTAGAGTCATCTTTCCAATGAACTGATATACAGATCATAAATACATTAGATTCATTACTCTGTACAGTAGGGAATTTGCCTAGTCTAAGCAAACTATATATCTCTATATCCTATGTAAAAACCAGAGTTCGATCTCTCATAAGTGCTGAAGAAATTAGTGAATTGTTACACTTGTTATCACTTATTGGATTGTAATTACCTATAGATATTCAGAAGAGATAAGCATTTACTAATGATATATATGAATAGTTACTTAATACTGCTCAACTTGAAAGAGGTAATCTTTCTTCACAGGCTACTTTGCGATAATAATACTGGTAAGTTAGATTATCTGAAGTTGTATACATACCAATAGCGTGAACTGCTTTTAATGAGTTATTTCAGTCGTAGTGATTTCATATTCTTATACGGATATATGGTTTTTTTTCTGTATGATATCCTTGAAGTAAATAAGTGCTTATAGTCTTAATCCCAAACTTTTAATGTACTATTGAGAATATTAGATAGTATTCTTACTAATTTAGTCTTAAATATAGATAATAATATGTCTTCAGGAACTTTGATATCAAAGAAAGGTTAAATACCTGTAATATACACAATTGCCTTTTGCCTATTAATCAAAGAACTAGTGATATGCAAAATATAGGTAAAGGTCCTATTTATATATTTTTTATCATCACTAACTTTAGTAGGCATAAAATATATGAGTTGCTTGCTGGATAGGTTTTGTTGAAGTATAACAGATATTCCATTATCATATTCTGCTATAATCTCATTACGTAATAAAATGCTAGCTAAAAATCTAATACTGTTATAGCAGATGAGAGTTCTACAATCAGTTTGTTCAAAAATAGTTGAGATATGCATGAAATTAGTTTGAAAAATTATACTATCTCTATAAAATTCAGAAATGTTTAATTTTTTTTTTCAAAAGGTATAGAAAGAAGCTATAGCGAACTTAGTCAACAAATCAAAAATGAAAGGCAAACTGATATATATCAAAAGTGTAGGCTTCTTTATAATATATTATATAAATATTAGGAGAAGCTTATACTTTTCTAGATATGTATTTAGGTATGTCATCCAGGATAAGTAAATGCGTAATCTATTATATAAATATTGGCAAAAGGCTTTACTTTTCTAAATATGTATTTGGATGTGACATTAAAGCTACATCTCAATATATGTATCTGAAAAGTGTAATCTTCTTCGTAATCTATTATATAAAAATTGGAAGAAACCACTTTTCTAGATATGTACTTGGGTATGGTATAGCCATCGCATAATATAGAGATACACCAAAAAGAGATACAAAGTTAGCATCTCTAATTCTCTAATCAACTAATTCACTAACCCAAATCCTAAATGCCACTCAAATATTTCTCAAATATTTCTTAAAAGTTGCAAAATAGGAAGACTAAAGTCAGGTTATGTAATGCTTCTATTGATGCAAAAAATACATATAGTAAGATAACAAGCAGATCATAAATAAAAAGCAAGTGGATATATCTGAAAAAGTGTAGTCTTCTTCATAATTTATTATATAAAAATTGAAAGAAGACTACACTTTCCTAGATATATACTTAAATGTATATAATATATATTGGATTCTTAGGAACAAAACTGCATTACTAGTATTATCACATTATACCTCTGAATTTCTAACTAATTAAAACATCAGACTAAAGCCTAAATATCTCTCAAAAGCAACAAGAAAGTTATGTAAAAGTGGCAAGAAAGTTGTGAGGAAGTATCAGGAACTAAAGGTGCAATAAAATTAATGAAAATTTCAACTAGCATTATTCTTCATCATAATTTCAGCCAGAACTTTAGATATAATAATTCAGCACTTAAGCTGACATATAAGTGATCTAAAACTGGCAAATTAATAAAATTACACTAGTTTCTTGCCAATTTCACACCAGTTTCATGATAGTTCTAAGAGAGTTCCAGGCACTACCAGGTCACTACTATGACGTCTTCTCAAACTATATGCCTAAAGATCAGCCAAAAATTATGCTATAGTATTGACTAAATTTAGACGCGAATTTACATCAAATTTACTGCACTACCTATCACCTTTTTTTACATGATTTCAGCATCTAAAAAGGCAACCAAATAGGTGCAAAGGGTAAGTATTTTAATATTGAATCTAGTATTCAATTAGGTGCAGGAGGTTAGTATCATCAACATAAAATCAGATATCTAAACAGTTACAGAGAATCAATAACTTAATTATAGAATTTAGCATATAAACAACTCAGCAACAAGAAAAAACACATGGTATTTAGATTATATATATGTAGTAATTAGATTATATTATAGTAATAAAAGTATATTAGTATAAAAAATATGAATACCAAGAAAGACTTAAAAACATAGCTAGAATATAAAAGCGATATAAGAAATAATAAAATATTAGATTATATGTGGTATTCATACTGTATTATTTAGATTATATGTGATAATTAGACCACATCATTTAGATCATATGAGGTATTCAGATTATATGTGTTATTTAGATTACATACGATATTCAGACTATATGTGATATTTAGATTATATGTAATATTATAATCTAGGTTAAGTGGGATACCACATGTAATATAATTATATTACATGTGGTATTCTACTAATGCCTTATTAAGAATTAATTTAAAAGACAACTTTCTCAAACTTAACAATACAAGTCTAGCAATCACTAATATATAACATCTACTTTAAATTCAACTCAAACTTAGTCTTAATGCATTTATTGATATAGTTAAGGTGATCCTATCATTTAACTATACTAAAGATATTAATGAAACATTCATCCTATCTTCTCTTAGATACCTTTAATAATTAATTATAATAATAATGATAACAGGATTAGCTTCAATAGTCAAATAATTCTGAAAACACTTATTATAATAATAACTCTTCAGACAACTCTTTGATTATTTTATCATTTCATATCAATATTGTAATGCATAATATTCATTTTTTTCTTCAGTTATATAAACAACAATTGTTAATTAATTTATATAACTTTAACAAACTAGACATTATTAGAATTTAAGAAATAAACTTTAAAACAAATAATGATACTCTAAGTTTTAATAAATCGACTTCTTTTTATTTAATTTTCTTCTTTAATTTTGATAATAATACCCAATTGTCTAGTACAGGCATTAGGCTTTTGATAAAAAATAACTAATCAATTACATTTATAAATACAACAAAAAATATGGTCATATCATTTACGTTAATTTCTAATTTTGTAACAAATTTCAGATTTGCCTTATAAATTGCTACATTTTAAGTTCAAATAAATTTTTGCAAAAATAAACATATAAAAACATCACAAATTTAATTGCTAAAATAAGAAGCTTTTACATAAATGTTATTTTGATCAGTGATTTTAATATTGTTTCAGATAGATTCAGTAATATGTCTTATGCTAACTTATTTTTTTTGCAACTGGACAAATTGCAATTCTTCAATGTATTTGACCTTCTTCACATAATGTTAACTAATACTTCTCATCTTTCTTTTACTCCGCTAGATATTAACCTATCAGAATTAACCATATCTACTGCATCTCACTTATAGCAGCAGACTCTCATATCTCAGACCATTCAATAGTCTTTACTAATATAAGTATAGCTGAGATCAATATAACTACTAAATCTAAAGATCAAATTGCAAAGAAATCCTATATGTATAACCAAATAGATGATAAATCCTGAAATAAATTCTTTAAAAAGTTAACGCTTTTGCGTATAGTTATTAATTATCGAACTTAACCCTGATAAACTACACTTAAAAAAGGTTATAAATTTTTTCTAAGATCTTATATAAGGACGTATAATTAAAACTGCTAATAAATGTTTACTAGTTCAACATTCATCAGCTTACTCTAAAGATTTATGATCTCATTTATTAAAAAATATGTATAAACAATTTGTGTCTATTCAAAAATTACAGCAATTAATCAAAAAAGACTTTCGCATATATTATATTCTAAATAATTAGTTATTAATATATCAGAAATTAGCTCCTTTAGCAACACAATATGAGCTTTTCTGATCTACTATTATCTTACCTTCATTACAAGATCTTAATTATACAAAATCAAATCTATCTGACTTGAATAAGATCTACATAATCACTATCAAACTTGAAGAAAACAAACATAAATTCAAACAAATCAAAGTAGTACTAAAATAATAATGTAAAAAGTTCTACAATGACCAATCAAAAATATTTAATTCTATTTTTAACAGAAAATATCATACAATTATTCTTGATCAATATTTAGACAACTCTATAAATGATCTTGGCTTACTCATATTTATAGAAGAAATCAAAGGAGAGATTAACAGATACTTTCAACAAATTACTGTATACACTACCATTTTGTAAAACTCACAGATAAATGGAAACCTTAATACGAATCTCTCCTATTTGTAAATACTTTAATTTATGAACACCTAATAGATCTGCTAAGTGAAGATGAATAGTACAATCTCCTTAAATCATTATCAAATGACAAAGCACTCAGTCCATCTAAGATCTTCAATAAAATGTTAAAGCATTTAAGTCCTAAAATGAATGAAGTATTCTGGATGGTAGCCTATGTTTGTTTAATACTTTTCTGTATACCTGATTGATAAAATCTTACTTTTGTATATCTGATTTCTAAACCCAAATTGTGAGAATACAATCTCAACAATACTCATCCAATTACATTATTAAAATATCTGCAGAAAGCATTATTTAAATTAATTAATAAATATCTTTTAGATACTTTATCAAAATAAGATATCTTCAAAGATCATAACTTTGTTAGATTACTTTTTCACTCTACTTTTAAACTAATATATATCTTAAATAATATCAAATACGATTATTTATCTAATAATAATAAATATCTCTGAAGATTATTTCAGAATAAGTTTAAAGTATATAATTATGTTAATTTAGCAATACTTTTTGTGCACTTAATTGACTCAAATTTCAAAGTGCTTTTTTGAACTTTATTGCTTTACTTTTCTCAAATTGTTTTAATCAGATTTTAAAGTCACAGAAATACTGATTTATATCCTATATTTTCAGGAATCAATTAAGGAGAATTATTTCTCTCATTTTATATATATTTATTATAATCTCCTATTATATTACATTCAAAATATAATATTTGGTTATAATCTTACTGCAGAATGATACTTTAACATTAACTTTTTAACCATGGCCTTAGTCTTAATGAATATATCTATACTTGTCTTTATGGATAATATATTATAAGTCAGTAAATCTAAAGAAGATTTAGAATTAATATTATCTATTGCTGATGACTTCTATGAATTTAATGGTATCTTTATAAATCAGTCATCCTTACTTCAATCTTTATCAATAATCTAGTATGCTTTAGACTTATCTATAATGAAGAATATATTAGGCTCTTAGATCCCAAATCTTTAACTCATTACCTAGATATTTAGATCTTATTATTATTAAATAGCTCATTATCTGTCAACAAGTTCAAAATGAAGTGCTATCATTACTCTAATTATGAAAAATAAATACATTACAGATAAATAACTCAAAATTATTTTTAATTCAGTTCTTTTATCACGTATTTTATACTGTACATAATTGACTTTCCTTGACTATAAATTTGTGATAGAATTATGGGATCTTACAGGAGAATTTTTAGAATAGTAATGAATATGACCAAAAGTATTCTAGCAGCTATAATTTACTTCTTATTATTTTATAATATAACTTATCTATTTTTGCATAAATCTAAGTAAAAATATCTAATCTTATAAAGATAATCAATGATAAAGGCTCATTAGAAACTACTTCTTTAATCTGTAGTTGCTAACTACAACTTAAAGAATAATTAGTCTAATCACTACTTGCTACTTGACTATATGATTCTTCCTATAAATTCAAGGACTGGTAGTTCACTTTATTATTAAATTTAAAGTCTTTTAATATTACAATCACAAATAGTTAAACAAATAATAATCTATAGTTAGAGGAACATTTCTCCCTATTAGATATATATGATCCTTTATCATATAGAAATATGCTGACAAATTAAGAAAGAAGAACCTTTTGTTTATTGATCAGATAATCATTTTAGATAAAATAGCTCTTTTTATACTACTAGACCTTAAATACTTATTAGCTACTCTTATCTTTCTAATGTTACTAGCATAGTTTACTAAACTTCAAAACATACTATTACACAATAATTTTAATAGAAATATTTCACTACAATTTTAACATTCACATGACAATATAATTCAAATCAGACTACTTATATACATAAAAATATAATACATTTTACAATAGGTTAGCATCTTTCTTTTAACTTATCTGTAGTTGGCAAAGTACTTAAAATTGAATCCAATATTATTTACATTTAATACTTTTACTTTTAAGCAGAAATTTTATGGAAAATAATTCTTATTACATATAACAACTATTCTATTAATAATAATAATACTACATTTATACCTTCTAATATAAGAAATAAATATGCATCATATTTTGTTAAAATATTACTTTCTTTATGTTTATTTTTACACGCTTTGCCAAACTATAATACTGACTATCTTTATCCTCTATTTCCTTATATGATTTTTGAAATAGCTCTTTTTAATTACAAATTATTTTTAAATCTAACCTTTAATTTAAAACCTTCTTCTTCCTCTAATATAGTCTAATCTTTCATTTTATACTGATAGTTCTTTTTCTAATTTAAGTAGTTCAGCATCTTATATGAAGGTTACCTAGTTACAAGTTGATTCTTTAAAATCTCTCTATTTCTTTAATACCTTTCTATTTCTCCCTCAACTATCTTCTTCTTTAGCAGAATTAGTAGTGATTTTAGCTGTAATTTTTGTATTACCAGTTAATGCTAATGTTGACATTTTTACAGATTCACAAGTCATCATTTTCTCTTATTCAAATGAATTATTTCCTTACTTGAGCTCTTACCTACAATCCCACATTCAAAATTTCCTATTATTTAATTTAGTATTTACTATTCTGCCTACCTAAGGACAGAAATATTATAATTACATTACATAAAGTTAAAGTACATGTCAATGATCACTATAATAATGAAATTGATCAACTCACTAAAATAATATATCCTTTTATAATCATCATGTCATTAACATTAGGTTATAGTTTATTCTCAATTATGATAATCATATAATACTGATGCTACTAAGACAATTTGTCAAAAACCTCCTTAATTCTGTTGACTTTTACAACATACTATTACTTTCACATAAATATTCCTTATTAAATGTGAATTGAATTAACACTATTTTTATTCTTAATAATAATGAAAGTACCGTATAGCGCTCTATAAAGTATCCTGGATACTAATTGCTAAACTCGGGCTGACTGTAAATAATACTCCCAGGGGTACTGTGTATAATGTAGGGTATACTAAATGGGGGGTATTGTGCTAGGAATACAATTTATCAAATTTAGATAATCGGGATGATCAGTTGATCATCTTTTTTTTATATATCGAATAAAGAGAAATTTTTGTGAATTTTATGGATGTTCCAAATGCTTTAATAAATGCAATGCAAAGAATAGACAAAATGTCGAGAAAACTATAGAATCCTCTTCAGCTTTAACAAATCAACCACCTACACCTACACCTACACCTATAACTACAACTGTAGAAACACACTTCAGGAATCTTCAGCTTCATCAAACACTATTTTAGAACAAAGTTTTATTTCCGTCACTATTTGAAACTCAACCAAACCAATGTATGTAAAATTAAATTGAAACTTTGCTGGTGGAAATGAGAAAACAGGAACAAGTGGAGGAGGAATATGGTACAAAATACCTTTCCCTTGAATTTAATTCCAAAATATTTGATATGATTCGGGTTAATATAAATAATCGTGCAATACATCCTTTGAATGAATGCTATTGAATCTCTACATTATAATAAGGTATGAAAGCA